TGGGATCAGGGCCCCGCCAGCTGGGTCTGATGTAGTCTAGATCCAAGTCGAAGTGCAAGTGGCAGTCAGGCTTTCTGATTGCCGCTGTAAAACGTCAGTTTTCATATTTGCTACTGAAAAACACGACTCTGTCTTCCACAAGCCACGTACAATACAGTACTTGTCTGAAAGTTAAACCCCGAACAGCGTTTATCCAGCATCGGTCAGTGTGACCGATGCAGGTGCTGCTCCAGAAAGCTTGGGCACGGAGGGACACACTAGCACGTCTTGAGTTCCATCTGTGCTTCGGTGTGGACACTCCAGAGCAGGATGCTTGCACTACAGGAGCATGCACCCTTTTGGAAATGCTTTCCATAGTGAAAATCACCATATGCTACATTAATGTTATACCTCTAGCTTTGGGAGGAAATGATAGAGACAGCCCTTATGGAAAATGTTCTCCATCTTCTGCGAAACCAGGCAAAGATGTAAAATATTCACCGGCATTTGGGGTACATTTCCTCCCCAACTCAGGCCAAACCCTCATCAGAAGCCACTCTACTAATGTAATGAGAAAGCACTGTCTTGCAAAGGGCAATTCAGGTAGTTGGTATAATTGCTGCATCCTCATCTTTTCAGGACCTCCCTGAGATGCTAAATCATAATAAAGTGGTTTGTGGAGTCTTGGGAATAAGGAGGGATGGGACATTTAGCTATTTAATGATATCAAGGTAAAAGAAGACTTCATCTATCTCACAGGAGAGATACATTTGCCAATGGGACCAGAAATAATGCGAAGTCAGTGATGACTACCCACTCCAGGAGGAGTGACCTACCTGTGACATCTATCCCTGCCCAGCCAGCTAAGCCCGGGGGACCCTGCTGACATTTTCTCTATTCCTACATCTGACCAGGACTCCTGATGATGCTGTGTGGTACCCACTCACCATGGCTGTGAACCCAGGCAGATGATCAGTAAGCTCCCTTGGACTTGATGCCAGTCTGTCTTGTTAAGATGGTTTTCCCAGCTCCTCTTTTGGTTCCTACAGTTTGCCTTGGGTGTGAAGGGGATACCCTGAACCCCCAGACTTTCACCTTCTTAGGGACAATCTTCACCTTAGCCCTCAACTACTGATCACAGATCATAGCATCCCTACCACACACACACACACACACACAGCAGACTGTCTGTTGGTTTTCAGTTCTGTTCTGCTCTTGGTCCCTATAACTGGCAGAAAGAAAGCAGTGGTTCTCCACGTACAAATGAACAGGGAGAAGCGGCCGCAGAGAAGGAAGAACCAGCCCACATCTGGGTCTTGAGTGGCTTCACTGAGTAACAAAGGGCAGAGGGGGACTCTCTCTGGAGTTAGGGAGGCAGAGAAGGTTGAAGCAAGCTGCAAGTGATTGCTGTTAAAACAAATAAGCACCAAGTTTGTGCTCGCTTCGCAGAGAATAGAAGCAACACCCAAGTTTGATGGGTGCATCAGAAGACTTCTCAAAGGAGGTGACATTAACCCGGAGACTCAAGAGCCTATTGTGCAGACATGTGGGAGGAAAGCCTTCAAGCTCAGGGAAAAAGCACACAAAAGCCCAGGGACATGGCGAGCAGGGTGCATTGGGTAACCAGGTAGAGCAGGGGTAGGACATTTAAGGCAGACAGGAGGTGAACTCCAGACCAAGAAATCCTTGCAGGCTTTCCAGAAAGGAAAACGGATTTTCTTCTCCAGACCCTCAGCTGTGGGCCGCAAAGCCCTGAGCAGTTACAGAGTTAAGGACAGAAGACAGACCCTACAGGAGCATCAAGCACTGCTCCAGAATAACGTATTCCCGCTCTCCAGTTACATGTAGATGCTTCTGTGATTATCTTAATATCAACTGAAGACACTACAGAACATAAAACAAAAATCATTTTTTGAACAAACAAGCACAAAGTTATGCTCGCTTTGCAGAGAATAGAAAGGCTTGTATTATTAAGTGTATCTCAATCAATGTGACAGTCCAGTTACATGTGGGTTTTGTTTTATCACTGTATTTTGGTAAAAATGTAAAAGTATAATTACTATCATGTGTGGTCTGCAAAATTCAACGGCATTATAAAATGTTTGGGAACCAGTACCACAGGTAATGGGGAACCACTGAACATTTCTTAGAAGTGAAGTAACATACAACACCTGGATTGTTTAAAAAAAAATCCTCTGGCTGGGCTGGAGGACGAGGCATGAGGAATCCTGAGAGGAAGAGAGAGAGAATTCCTGCCATGGTGGGAAAGAAAGGGGGAGGAACACATGAGGACAGCACCCACCTGGCGGCCAGTCAGATGTAAACGCGCAGGAAAGGGCATCTGGGCGGGTGGCAGATTCTGGTTTGGACAAGTGCATGGCTGTGTGGTGCTTCTGAGCAATCCGAGAAAAAGCAAAAAGGAGCCCAGAGGGGGTGGTGTCGGGGAGCAATGACCTCAACTCCAGGAGATGAGTGCGGCCAACAAAGAGAGGCCCCCAAAGATGTCCAAGCCCCATGCCTTGGACACTGTGATGATGCAGTTCGCACGGCAAAGGGCAAAATTGCTAATGCACTGACCTTGAGATCAGGGAGAGGATCCTGGACTCTCCAGGTACAGGAGGATGCAGAAGAGTCCGTGGTGGAGGGCTCCCTGTGAAAGAGGCCTGTGGCCCATGGCTGACTTTGAAGGTGGAGAAGGGTCATGAGCTGAGGGACGAGGTGGCTGTTGAACTGGAAGGAGCAAGACAGAGCCCCTGAGTCCCCAAAATCACAGCCCTCACCTTGATTCAGCCCCCTGAGACCCATTCCAAATGTCTCAGGGCCAGATCTAATGTAAGAACTTTGCATCGTATTAAGCCACTGAGTTTGTAGTAATTTGTTATAGCGGTGATAGGAAACTCATTGCGTGAGTTCTGTTTGAAATACCAGTGGGACGTTCAGGAGAAGCATGAACACAAGTGTGATATTCTGCTCCGGGGCGTGTCCTGTTTTCAGAGATGAAGGCTGAGCTCCCAGCCACACTCTTCTTTTGCATGCAGACTGCGTCTCTTCAAGACTTGGTTTTATTGGTAGGACTGCCCGTTATGCAGGATTGCAGGGGAAACTGGTCGGTGACTCCAAGGGATGGATAAACAACGGCTCTCATCTGGAGCAAGAACTTCCTGTGTGAGGACAGCCGAGGGAGCCCCCAGGAAGGTGTACTTGACTTTCACACGATACTCACCTTGCTGCCTTACCAGACCCACCAAACCACCTGTAACACCAGGCCCCAAGCTCCCCACTGCAGGTCCCACCCCTCTCCCAGCAGGAGGCGGCCCCATGGGCTCCACAAGCTGCCTCTATATTCCAGAGTCAGCCTGGGCAATGACTGGAGTCATTTATATTACTTTATTATTTTATAAAAATGCATGGAAATGAAAACACGATTTCTATTATCTATAAAAGCCACAGCCTCATAAAATTTAATAGATATGAAGAGGAAAGCCATCAGGGGTCCATGTAAGTTGATCCACTGGAGGTCCTGCTGTGAAGGAAATTAACAGACTGTCAACAAGGCCAGTCAGAGTGGACATTTGCTGCGCCTTGCAAGGTGCATGCACTTCACATGCATAAGCCCATCAGCCCACTGGGTTGGGGCCCACCTTACAGATTCGAAAGTCTAGACACAGAATGGTTGGGGTTGAGTTGCTTAAGGAGTCATGACCAGTAACCGGTAGAGCTGGGATTCAAGCCTGAATGAACAGCTTGACTCCTGAGCCAGCCCTCACCTCCCTGATGCCTCCACTGGCACCCCCCTGAAGTCACGGCCTCCCTGACACCACCCTCTCCCTGAGGTCATCTCCTGTTCCCTGCTGTGCCCCCTTCTCCTGTTCTATCCACACTGGCCTCCAGGACATGCAGACACATTCCTCTGCCCCAGGGTCTTTGCCCTGTTATTCCCATTAGAAAATATTTCTCCCAGATATTTCTTATTTCCTCACTTCCTTCAGGTCATATAAACATCTCCACAAAGCACTCCCTGATGCCCTCTAAAGAGATTGGGCACTCTGTCAGCATATCCTGGGAAGGCCTGTCTCAGATAGGGGAGCAAGACTGGGACAAGCTGGGGCCAGGTGAGGCAAGACTCCCCAGGTCTCTCTGGGGTAGCATCAGGCACCTGTAGAGGTCAGGCAGGGGGAGCCACCTTTCAGTGCAGTAGGATGCGTGCCAGCAGGCAGCAACCTTAGCTGCTCTCTATAGTATGCCAGTGTGTTGTGGCTGATATTCAGTAGATATGAAAAATCCCATTTTTCCTTCAGTACCCTGGCCTGAGACATCATGGGGAGCAAAGTGAACAGGCCTATCGTTCACTAGATGACCAGGAGTGCTGTCCACCCTGGAGGCTGGACACAGGATGACGTCTGGTCCCTCAGTTTGGTCCTGTTCCCCAAGGACATATTCCCTGGAGCCCCTGGCATAAGGGCTGCATTCTGTGGCATGACAAGAAAGCTGCACACAGAAACCTGAAGAATTCACACACAACACATGAACACTGGCCAGTGTCCTTAGAGAGGGACCCTGACTGCTGGCCTTCACTGTCAAAGTCCTGGCATCCTTGACTTCTAATCCTTCCATGCCTGTCACAGATCCCGGACGTTCATTCCACATGTGCCCACGCTTTCTCCATCGGGACTGGGTAGCCTGATGAGAGAGGTAGTGCTGTCGACACAAGGAAACTGAGGCTGGGTCTAGTGACCTGCAGCATCACCCCTGAAGAGCTCTGGGTCTGGACTTCTGTATCCACAGAAGTGCTCCTTCCAACACATGGGGACCCCTGACGTGATCCATTACAGATGCAGAGTCAGAGGGCGCTTCCATCAGCCTCGACGCCGGAATTCTCATACTGAATAAGCTTTTGATGTTGGTTGGGGACATTCCTAACACACCTCGAGGGGCACGTGTGATCCGCCTCACCAGCCCGCATTTTTGACGCGGCTGAACCTTTACTCATTTACAGTAACATTCTTTGGTAGAAAGGCAAATGCAGTCATATCCATAGGTCAGAATTTATTTCATACCACCTCATTTACAGCATTTTCAAAGACCTGCCCAATATCATTTACACTTGAAAACGAAAGCACGACTCGGTAAGGCACCAGGTCACAGCCACCTGGGGAGAAGACCTTGTCTAGTTTTGGTTTGTAGAATACCTGGGTAGCTCTCTTGAGTCTGTCAAGCACAAAGAACATTCCAAAAGGTTCATTTCCACAGACGCAGTAAAAAGAGAAAAGAGTTTTGGAGTATATTGTATTTTTAAATTGTGACCAGCCCACACTGTAGAAGTTAAGCTAAAATAGCACTTTCTTTTCTTTCTTTTTCCTTCCCTTGCCCCCCACTACCATAAATCATGCAGTCTAATTTCCCACATTTGGCGAAATCACAGGGCTCGGCACATCTGGAGTGCAGAGGATAACCTTCATCCTGGGGAAAGCACCTCTGTTATCCTAGTGTCTCCCCTGCCAGGGAAGTATAAAAGTGGCATTTTCTAATGCACAACTCTTCTGAAATACCCTCTGCAATACCAAGCTCTAAGTGTGACAATGTTTGAGGTTTGAAGTGAATCGACTTCATATTTAGCCCAAACACACACATTTAAAAATTGTTCCACCCATATCTCTATTTTCACAAAGAAATAAAAATGGAGGAAAACCTCAAGTACAATTTTACCTTTACTATTCTATAAAATGCAGCAACACGTTAAAAGCTGTTGCCTTTAAATGTCAACCCTCTAGATTTTTAGCACTAATGGTACAGGTTGTAGCAAGCTGGGTTAAAAATAAACCACTTGAGGAAAGCTCTCAGAACTCGGCCACACCGGCATTCTTCATGAACAGCTTCCCAGCAGCACCCCTGAAGGCAAAGGGGTTGGACAGCCCCTCCCAGGGGAACCAAGAGTGACCACATAACACTGTCACATGCATAAACCTTCCAACTTTTGTGTTCTGTCTTAAAAATGAATTTGCATTGTCACTCCATGACATTTGCTTAAACATAGAAATACTGTTTAAAATTACTTACTAGTCAAATAACTATCCCCCACCCCCACCTCTGCAGTCTGGAAGCAGACTTCCCACAGATAGGTAGGCCAGGCATGCAAACTTGGAATGCATTTCATTGGGTCTGTCCGGGGCATTTCCACAAATGAAGTAATTTTATTCACCTCAGGTTGTAGCTAAACATTTCAGGTAACTATGACTGGTAATTTCAATGGTATGGAAAAAACAAACAGACTATGTATTTTAATTTTTGAACAAGAGTATTAGTTAATTTTATTTACTAACAGAAATACAAGAAGCCCTTAATCTAAAGTATAACCTGATCTTTTACTTTTCCTATAGAAAAACACAAATTGGTCTTTCTTAAATATAAAAAAGACAAAGCAAGACCCACAGAAAGGTGAAAGTCTTCTATCTGCTGGCTCTACAGAGATTTTCCTAGTTATTGATTTTGGTAAATCTGCTTCACCCACTGCAAGCCTGACATTACGATTTAATGCATTAGGCTACCTTCTGGCACTTCAGAAGTAAACCGTCACAGAGTAAAACTATTCTTCTGATATGGCACTTTTTCCTCTAGAAGATTAAGCCCTAAAAACTGCCACCTGGGAGAACACGAATGTCTCACAAATGCGCAGTTTTCTGACTGGGTCCCTGCATACACCGGGCTCCTGGCCGGCCACAGCAGGCCCCATGACCCCCTCTGACATTCAGCTGGTTTCTGCTGCCAGCTCTCTGAAAGGCATCTGTGGATTTGACTGGTTGTTTTAACTGGTTTCAAGAGACATTCCTTTTAAAACAGGCTTTAAGAGATGTTCATGTTTCATTTTAAGATGCTCTCAAAAATGTGCTAAGATATACTTAAAATCATATCTAGGGTGCAATAAAAAAGAGAGCTATTCAAAAGAGTGTTAACAGAAAGAGGAAGCCAAACTTCCCTCACTTCTGTTTTGGTGGTTATGCTTTTTCCCATAAACTGTTTAAAAGTCTAAGTCAGCAACAAATACAGCTGTATCTACGTATGTATGTGTGTGTGTACGAAGCAGCAGATTTCGGCCGACTTCAGGAAAAAAGTACATTTTAAGTTCACAAACATTTTGCTGCAGGCCTTTCAAGAGTGTTCCACTTCTCTGCAGATGGGACAATTTAAGTGTGGAAGTTTAAAGACAATTCAGATCGGTGAGCCCTGGTGCTCTACCTACCAGGGATTTAGGCAGATCGGTACATGCGGGCTGACAGCAAATGTAACATTCTGATCTCAATACGAATCCGCAGGGAAAACTGAAGAGCTAATGATTAGCAGTGGTTTTATTCCCTATGGATAGTGCTGGAGCTACGCTTACACAGTGTCAACTACAGCTGGTATAAGAATGAAAAACCCCATAAACAATTTTTTCTTTTTGGTCCACACAATGCCATAGACTTAATGGGATTTTTCTTTGCTGTTGGTTGTTTTTAAATCTTAAGCAACTGCATATCCGTATATGACAAGAGTGATTGATTTGAGGTTCTGTAAGCAGACGCCTCTCGTTTTCTCTCAGGTATTTCCTTCTTAAAAAAATGTTTTTAAGTGTGGGGTATCAAAGCTAAGAGTTGTTCTTACCATAGCTGGCCTGAGTACATAATGCACTTGCATTAAAGAGCCCTTAATGCAAGTGGGGGAGGGTTGACCACGCCATTTCTTCTGTTGCTCTTCTGTAGCAAAATTTCATTCCTGACACCCATATCTGAGGGGTCTCTTTCATATTAGATATAAATTAATACAGAAGTCTAGAGCCACACATTTTCAGGGATGAAAAATGCTTCATTTACTTCAAGAATATCTTGCAAAAAAGTATCTCATCCCTAAGCTCAAAGAACAAGAAAATCAAAGGCAAGAAAGACTGTAAATGGAGACCTCCGCCTGTCATAGGTTCTCTATACAGGTTCTGCATAGTCAAAGGAGTCACGTCAGCTAATATAGCTTCTAATATCAATTTCATCTGAAAATAGCCTTCCTGCATTTCCTGCCAGCATCATACGAAACAGCAGTACTTCTTCCACCAGGACTTGGAGAGGTTTTTCATTTTGTCTGGAGTCCTGCTTTTAGACTTCTTTGGCTGCTGCTGGGCATCCGAGTACTGAATGCCAGCAACGATAGCCGTGTCAAAGACCTCTTTGAGGTTTTTCTGAGTCAAGGCTGAACACTCGATGTAAGAGATGGCTTTGATCTCCTCAGCACACAGCTTAGCCGCCTCTTCAGGTACCGGCTTCTCTTTGCATTTGTCCAACTCGATAAGGACCTTGACATCCTCTCTGAGGTCCGACTGAGTCCCAACGAGGATGATGGGGGCTTTGGGACAGTGGCATCGGATCTCTGGCACCCATTTCTCACTGACGTTCTGGAACGACGAGGGGCTCATGACACTGAAGCACAAGAGGAAGATGTCCGTGTGGGTGTAGCAGAGAGGCCTGAGTTTGTCAAACTCGTCCTGCAACCCATCAAAACATCCCCAAGTTATTTTTTAAATCAATTCTCATTGGCAAAAAAGATGTCTTAACATTTTTCTGGGAATGGTCTGGCACGTAATAAAAAGTCCACTGGTTCTAGAAGAAAGAGCCTGTGACTCAGGAAGGGTCCTGCTTTTCCCTAAGCGGCACCCGTGCTCCCAGCCTGGCAAAATCTGCCAAACATGTCTGATGTTCTTATGGACCCTCATGACCTACCTGCAACTTAGCAGAGAGGGTACTGCAAGGAGGTGGATTTTAGGAATACAGCTTACTTTAGCTAGCCTTCAGCCCAGAGCAACCCAGGCTCACTCTTTCAACCCTGGTACTCTGGCCACTCTTGTAACGTTGAGACAGCGCATCCAAACTGGTCCCCAAGATTCCAGCCTGACCACGGTGAGCCCCCCGCCTGTCAACACAGCTCCTCTGAAGAACCCAGCCCTGCCTGCCCTCATGACAGGGCTGAGCAGTGCCCACCTCATCCCACCTACATACCCTGGCATAATCAGGCCACATACCTCACCGAGTCATGGAAACCAGACACAAAGACAGACCCAGAACTGGAGCTGAGGACCTCTGGCCGGACCATCTCTCAGCAGCTCAGAGAGCATGGGCCTCTCAGCATCCCTTACAACGCTGGCTGATGCATTCTCATGCTTGATCGCTAGGCCTCTTTTTTCTTTTTACTTTATCTTCTTTTTCTCCCTCTTTTTTTTCTTTTCTCTTACTCTGCTTTCTCGCTGCCAATACCAGAGGTCCCCAGTCATGCTGCTTGGGGAAGATAAAGAACCCGGGCGAGCACATACCAACCCAACTCTTAGGACCCAGGGAACTGGGTGGGTAAGTTAGAGTTGATTACATAAGCCAAGCGCCATGCTGCTGAGGGCTCTGCAGCAGATGCACGCTAGACACCAGGCCTGTGCGGGGCCAGGGGATTCAGAGGGGGACAGACAAACACAGCATTGGCCCTCCTAGAGCCAGCTGTCTCCAAATCAGCACTCCTCCACACCACACACCCCGCAGTCCCTGCAGCGCCACATTCAGTTAATTAAAGGCCTTCACCCAACTCTCTCAAAGGGAAAGAGTTACATCATTTCATTCTCATTTAAGAGTTCTATCTGGGGGTGCCAGCCATCCTCGGGTGTAATGTGACAGCTCATTTTTCAGTGGCAAGAACAAGTTCAAGAAACTCAGGTTTCTGTTACTCATTTGGCATACTCTGATTATTTACAGACTACTATTCACATGCACATTATTCTGTATCTGTGGCCTTTTCTAGGTATAAAGGAAACCTGGACCTGTTTTACTGAATGGACTTTCTTCTCTTGAGACTCCATATTTCAGTTGTGGGGCAAAACATCAATTAATAATATTAAAGTCGACCGGCTAATTGCACTCAGGGGTGCATATGGCAATTTTGGAATGTCACTGCCATCTGTCAGTCTTCTGGAGTGAAAGTTTAAAAAGAATGACTTAGTTCTCTCAGTGCCAATTTTGTGCTGAATGAACATAGAAACTCAACTGGGTAGGCTATGGCCCTTCTCAGAAAATCTTTTCATGAAATGTTCCCCGTTCTCAGAGGCCTCAAAAGAAGCAGCACAAAACTGAGACTGGTATAAAGCCAGGCCCCTCAGGCAGCTCACCTCGCTGTTGGAAGGCAGTCACCCTTGGCTGTGCCCTGGAATCTGGGGTTGCATTACCAATAAAAAGAAAGGCAAGCACAGGATCCAGGCCTCGTGACAAGGCTTTGGAGATCTGGCTCGCTGGACCTCCTGAGATTCCAGCTAAGGAGCTGGCGAAGCAAAGAAATTAAAGCCTCCTGCTCATTGCCTGACCAGAACCCTTATATATTTGCTGATATAAATGGAACATACATATGAGTGACGAGGCCAGCTGGAATACACCCTCAAGGAAACGTGTTCTGAGGCTCAGCGATTTGCAAGTGCTTGCCAGGTCAGGTCTGCAGCAAAGACGGCCAGAATTGAGGTCAAGGGCAGGGCGGGGCAGACAGGGGGCTGGCTAGTAGTGTTGGTCAAGCTGCAACCTGAGGGGTTTTTTGGGTTTTGGTTTTTAAAGTACAAAGATTTTTCTAAGTGCCTCAAGGGTCAAAAGGCTGAAGATTTTCCAACTCTGTTGGCAGTGCTGCAACAAGCATCTCCTGTTTCAGTGATAGTCCATTCTCTTAGCCAAAGGTTATGTTTCTCAAGGTCTCAGTGTGTGATCTATTTTCACTCGAGTAAGACTGGGGGCCTAGTGTTAAAAACTCCTTCTAATGTCTTATATACTCCCCTGTCCTCCCAAGCAAGAAAACCCAAAGGCACAGGAAGCTATTTCTAGTTTTTCACTTAGCCAGTAGAGCTATATTTTCGCTCTGAATTCTATAGGCAACCAGCCTTTGGGCCAGGTTATGGCTTCCTGGGCTCATGTGTCCCGGAGTTTGAAGTGAGGTTGCATAAGTCACTTCGACCCCACGAGGCTACTGTGAGGACTGCTGCAAGGAAAGGGGCATTCCACGGTCAGCACTAAGGAGATATGGCTGGTGTCAAATCAAGTCCCTGAAAGTCTGTTTATCAGGTTTGGACTACGACGGGCAAGGAAGGATTACTAGCTTGGTCGCCACAAATGCTAACTGATACCTGGGGAGCTGGAGAGAAACTGACTTTACCTTACCAGCTGGGTAGTGTTTCATAAATAGTTTTTGAAGTTGGTTTTCTACAAATCTTTAGATAGTGGCTCATTCATTACATAGGAAGGTATACTTTATTGACCAGTTCATCATGAAAACACTGTTGGGAGACTGGAAAACTAATTTCCACACAAACTAAAGCTTACCAATTCTGCACCAAACCTTTATGATTCCCCTAATTATGAACTTATTTCACAAAAACATTTCTAAAATGATGCCTGTGCCTTCCTGACTTTGAAACAGACCACAGCAAGGAAAAAATTAAAATCGTCCTTGATAATTTAAGATTGTTTCTACAAAGCTTTTCTGGTAAAAGTCCTATTCCTCTTTCAAAACTACTTGGAGGAGCCACCTATCCTGCCCCTCGAGCCCACGCTGCCTTCCTTTATGTAACTTCACTGCTTTCTTTCGCCACTTCCACCAGCTGGTTCATCTTCCCTACAGGTGCTAAGTCAGCTGAGGGGCAGATCTACGACTTAAGTTTGCAACCCCCAGGGCCCAGCACTCCACTCATTCATACAAACTGTGGGCCTTACTGTGTGCCAGACACTGAACAGGCGCTAGGCTAAAGCCCACGCTCAGGAAGCCATGTCTGCTCAGGGAACCACACCTACTGGCAGGCCCCCGGAGGGCAGGGACAGGGAATAACCCTGCCTTCTAGTTCTTCCTGTTCTATCCTTGTCTCATGCTCATGGGGCTAAGAAGCCTGTTCTTGCTGCAGCAGGAATGCCTGTGTCCATCAGGGTGCTACTCTGCCCTCACTTTACAGATTAGAAAATCTGACCCATAGTGGGAAAAACATGCTCACTTCAGACAAAGCAATTAAACTTTAATTATAAATACCAGCAGGGCTTTCAGAAAGGTTAAATATTAGAAGAGCTTGTGTTTTTTGATTTTTCGCTTCCACAGGCAATAAAATACAGGCTGTACTTCCCGATGAAGGGGAAGCTGAGGTGCCCCAGTGGCCTGGCCAGGCAAGGAGAGAACAGAAGAGACAGGCTACACCTCCTGCCGAGGGGCCACAGCCGCGCTGTGTTCAGCAGGGGATCAAGGCTGCTGGGTCTTGAGTCCCTTGGGGGCTTGAAAAATAAAGCTCTGAATATGCTGTCCCAGAGCAGGTAAGCAACTTGGCAGCCCTGGATTGGAAGAGGCACTTGGCGACACTGGAAAGTCCAGTTCTTCTTAAACGCAGGTCACGCGACACCACCTCAGGAGGTGAGGCGGGCGCTTTCACCTGCTCACGGGGCCTGCCAGCACTTTCTCTAACTCCAGCAAGTGGAGAGCCTACACAATTTTTATTAACTGTCACTTCAGCAAACTCAAAAGACGGCACCCTGGGCTCCCACAGAGAGCTAGACTTCAGGGCTGAGCACCAGGCCTAGGGGGTCCGAGGGAACTGGAAGAATCTCCTTCCTTCCCTGGGTGTCTCATCCAAGTGCCTGGCCCTTGAGACAAGAATAAATGTGCACGATTTCCAAAGACCATATCCCCATTCATTCATTCCTCCAGCTCAGGGCAGCTTGGACCACTGTATCTACTTCAAGGGTGGGGTGGCCGGAAGCTTAGTAAGGGAAACATCAGTACTCACCGACATAAACGTCACCTTTTTCTGGAGTAGATTTTTTAACTATTTAGTTGCTGAACCTTTGCTAAAATCACTAGATCACCAATTTACTTTGAAAAATGATCACAAAACATCACTGATAATTTTTGATAAAAACAGAGAGTAAGTTAGATCACAAACTCCCCTAAGACATTACCTGTCCTTCTCTCTGTTTTCCCCCAGTTCTGCCCGCACAAAGCTGGGCCAAACCCTGTTGTATCAGTGCAGAGCTGACCCCCTGCCCCCAGCCCTCTGACAGGGACCCTGGCAGGCGTGGGGCTCCTTCAGAAGGCTTCGGTATGACCCGGTTATTGGCAGAGGTTGTTTGGAGGCCTCTGAATGGTGGCTTCCTTTCCCAGCACTGAGTGGTGACATGATACTGACCTGTCCTGCAGTGTCACAGAGCTGGAGTCTCACAGGCCGCCCATCCACAGACACTATAGCTTAAAAACAAGACCAGAACAGCTATCAGGAGGCTTCTTTTAACCCAATAATTACATTTTCCACTTGCACCACCACCCTCACTCCAGCTCCTGTGCTGGGTTCCGTCATGAATTAAAGACTTCCCTTAAAACCAGGAGCCCCTGCAGAGGCATTTTTGTATACAAACCCTTCAGGGCTGGCAATTCACTCCACTGCCACGGATGAGGCAGCAAATCCTTGAATCCTTTGATGGAACCCCAGAAGGGCTTTGCTCACAACCCCGAAAGATTTATTTTCCTGTCACGCTAGTTTCAGGGAACCTAAAAACAACACTGGGTGAGGGGAGGGTGGTAAGTGGGAACTAACGCTGCAGTTTAAATTGGTGCAAAAACGCAAACAGTTCTTGCCTTCCCTTGGGGGATGTTCTGAGACTTAAGGGTTTATCGTAAAATTGTGCCTTGTTTTAAGCACATGAGCAAAGACAGGCTACCCGAATTGTCCTGTTTATAAAAGAGGACACTGCTTATCTCTCCGTGTCAGCTCAAAGGAAGGATTAAAAAGAAAAGAGGAAGAAGACAAAGCCTTTCCACCATTCACTGGGATGGGGTATTTGGAGGGGCCTGAATCAGGGCACTGCTTGGGGTTTCTGTTTGCATTAAGCACCCTACAACTTTATAAACTGCCTGTAGATGTTCCTACTAGTCGGTTGTTGGGGAGAGGGACAACACTTTTAGGTGGGTAACCCATTAGCATTATTTTATCTTGGGTACCTTTGAGATGGAACAAAGCAAGCCCTTGACATCACGACTTTCTAAGAGGTCAAGAAGCAATCATTTTGAGAGCAAGAGAGAGTTTCACACCAGCTTCTGTGTATTCTAACTTTCTCTTGAAGATTTTTCAAAAAGACCTGCAAACTCAAAGGATTCTCTTACGTTGGCATCCTGCAAGCCACGTCCCACAGCACCCCACATAAAAAGCTTTAGGTAGCTTCAAGAAAGAGATACTGAGAAGATACTAAGAATCAGAAAGAAAGCCTGTGGCCGCAGTGGAGACAGGGGAGAACTGAAGAAAAAACTGTGTTCGCTGTCCAGGTTTAATGCAAAGGTCAGGCGCCAGCAGCGCCGCTAGGGCCATTTTCGCTAAACCAACTCTTCCCAAGCCCTCCCCGCAGCGCTCAAGCGGAGCCGCCGCAAGCCCGGGGCCGGCCCCGGGCGCCGCAGGGAACGGCACCTGCGCGCCCCCTTCCAGCCT